GTGTAGTGTGAGTGGGTGTGTAGTCTGGCTTGTGCTTTGTTCAGGGTCATGGCCACTCTGTTTCCAACTGGACATTGGACCAAGGCCAGCCAGGACTCTGGGGAATTGAGCTGCAAGGATCTACCCTGAGTGTGGGCATTTGAGTGAAGTCCCTTATAGCCCTCAATGCTGGCACTAGAGAACCAAGAAACTGGGAACTTGAGTCTGGGTCACCCCCACCCGTACCGAGGCTCTCGGCTAAAGGGTGGAGGGCCCGTGGAGAGCTGGAGGAGGCAGGGGTCAGCGTGGCATCGTGCTTGGAGATAGAGGCCCTCAGAAGAGCCTTTTAAGGAATAAAGTCACACCCGAAAGTAGAGCTTCTCTTTTGGCTAATTCCCTTGTTTACTCTTAGCTTGCCTGATGCCTGGAAGTCCAGGCGGGGCTGTAGCTGAGGCCGGGGGCCGTGTGGCCCTGTCAGGCCCGCTGTCTTGGACCCTGAAATTCATCGGGTCAATAAAACAGAAAGTTCAGTCTTTTTTTTTTTGCGGTACACGGACCTCTCACTGTTGTGGCCTCTCCCATTGCGGAGCACAGGCTCTGGACGTGCAGGCTCAGCGGCCGTGGCTCAGCGGCCCAGCCGCTCCGCGGCATGTGGGATCTTCCTGGACCAGGGCACGAACCCGTGTCCCCTGCATCGGCAGGCGGACTCTCAACCACTGTGCCACCAGGGAAGCCCAGTTCCATCCTTTTTTATTGTACCTTTTCCATTTTTGAAAAGCTGCCCAAGCAGTCCCAAGGAGAGTTTGTCAAAGTTATTTATGTCAAGGAGCCAAGCGCTTTCTCTGTGGTTTGCTGAATGGGGAGGGAAGAGTCCGAGTCTACAGATTCAGTCCCTCACCGTGACCTCAGGACCTGTCCTCTGTGAGGCCCCTCGGCCTGCTACCTCCTTCCCGCCACGTCCAGGAGGTGGGCAGCTTTCAGCACCAGCAGCCGGGCCTGCTCGATCTCCACGCGGGACTGGGCGGTGTCGGCCAAGACCGTGCCCTCCTCTACCAGGGGCTTCCCAAAGGCCACTCGGGACTTTGCCTGTGGACACAGGAGACAGGATGGGAGGCTCGGGGCTGTGCCCTGCAGAGGAGGTGGCTGGAAGCACACAGGAGAGGGCTGGAGGGGAAGAGGGGCAGAAGCGGGACCATGCAGCATTTGTCACTTTGCCAGCTCTCCAGCCACTGGAAACTTCCAGGGAGAAGAGTCAAATGCAGACAAAGTTCGTGGGCACTGCGGAGCTAGTCAACGTGGTGGCTGCACAAATTACTTCCGGGAACCCCTTTACTCCAGCCATCCAACCCCTTCTGGGCAGGCTCCGCTGCCAGGCAGGGACAGTGCTTGATCTGAGCCGCCTCTGGCCCGGGGCTACTCTGCAAACTAGGCAGTGACTGTGGGCGCCTCACAGGCCAAGAGGGCGCCCTCGGGAGCAAAGTCTGGCTGCCAGAGCCCCCTTGTTGCCAACCATTATTGCAACGGGGATTCTACAGTCTTTGAAAGCCACAAGTGATCAGAAAAGGTTATAAGGGATCCTTCTCCCTCCGCTTTTTTAACTAAAAATAGTTATGACACAAATAATATATCTCATGGCAGAAATAGTACACATTTGCAGACAAAAAAAGAAAATACAAACACCCGGTATCCCATCATCTAGTCACTTACACTTAATATTTGGTGGATACCCTTCTATACTGTTTGTACATGCATATACATACATCTGCACTTTTTACCAAAAATGGAGTCATACTCTATATAATGCTTTGTAGCCTGCTGTTTTTTTTTTTTTTTTTCATTTAAGAGCATCTCTCTATATATTAAGAAATAGATTTCTAGGGAATTCCCTGGCGGTCCAGTGGTTAGGACTCTACGCTTCCACTGCAAGGGGCACAGGTTCCATCCCTGGTCGGGGAACTAAGATCCCTGTATGCCACGTGGCGCAGCCAAAAAAAAAAAGAATAAGAAAGAAAGAAATAGATTTCTATAGCATTGTTTTGGAATTTCACTGCATGCCCATATCACAGTTATCTAGACTAGGCTCCGATTGTTGTCCTTATAGGTTGTTTCCGACATATTATAATCACGGCTGTGGTGAGCCTCCTAGTATCAACTCTAATTACTCCTTGTGACCAAGTCCTGTGAGTGGAACAGCCACGTGAATACTATGGCACCGTGTAAGACTTCTGACACGTATGGTCAAACTTCTCTGCAGGATGGGACTGGAGTACTATATACTATACCTGAGCCCTTAGAGAGGAGCATTTTCTTTTCAAAGAAAAAAAAAAAACACGGTCTCAACTCAGAAGGGTGTGAATCTCAGGTTTGCTCAGTAATCCAAACACACTGGACCACTTCTGTTCTTTGTACAGTGTCTTGTGAAATATTTGTTTGGTCTCAACGGTTTGCTTCATCTTTGTGAAATCAATACAACTGATTTGAATTGCCATTCCCAGCAAGAGCTTTCTTTTGTGTGGGCTTCCAACCTTTGAGGGGGTCACAGAAGAACAACGTTTTTAGGACATGTAGGGGAGGAGGGTGGTACAGGACTGGATGCTGGAACCCCAGCCTCTCCCAGGTATCTGATTTTTTTTTTTTTTTTTTTGCAGTACGCGGGCCTCTCACTGTTGTGGCCTCCCCCATTGCAGAGCACAGGCTCTGAACGCTCAGGCTCAGCGGCCATGGCTCACGGGCCCAGCCACTCCGTGGCATGTGGGATTCTCCCGGACCAGGGCATGAACCCGTGTCCCCTGCATCGGCAGGCGGACTGTCAACCACTGTGCCACCAGCGAAGCCCACATGACTCTTTTTGAATTATAGTTTTCTCAGGGTATATGCCCAGTAGTGGGATTGCTGGGTTGTATGGTAGTTCTATTTTTAATTTTTTAAGGAACTTCCATACTGTTCTCCATAGTGGCTGTATCAATTTACATTCCCACCAACAGTGCAAGAGGGTTCCCTTTTCTCCACACCCTCTCCAGCATTTATTGTTTGTAGATTTTTTGATGATGGCCATTCTGACTAGTGTGAGGTGATACCTCCTTGTAGTTTTGATTTGCATTACTCTAATGATTAATGATGTTGAGCATTCTTTCATGTGTTTGTTGGCAATCTGTATATCTTCTTTGGAGAAATGTCTATTTAGGTCTTCTGCCCATTTTTGGATTGAGTTGTTTGTCTTTTTGATATGGAGCTGCATGAGCTGCTTGTAAATTTTGGAGATTAATCCTTTGTCAGTTGCTTCATTTGCAAATGTTTTCTGCCATTCTGAGGGATGTCTTTTTGTCTTGTTTATGTTTTCCTTCGCTGTATCACCGGATATTGAATATAGTTCCCTGTGCTACACAGTAGGACCTTGTTGTTTATCCATCCTATATATAGTAGTTTGCATCTGCTAACCCCAAACTCCCAATCAATCCCTCCCCCATACCCCTCCCCCTTGACAACCACAAGTCCATTCTCTATGACTGTGAGTCTGTTTTGTTTCATCAATAAGTTCGTTTGTGTCATATTTTAGATTCCACATATAAGTGATGTCATATAATGTCTGTCTTTCTCTTTCTGACTTACTTCACTTAGTATGATAATCTCTAGGTTCATCCATGTTGCTGCAAATGGCATTATTTCATTCTTTTTTATGGCTGAGTAGTATTCCATTGTATATATGTACCACATCTTCTTTATCCATAGAATGGATAATTCTTTTTTTTTTAAGATTTATTTGTTATTTATTTATTTATTTTTGGCTGCATCGGGTCTTAGTTGCAGCATGCAGGATCTTTGTTGAGGTATGTGGGATCTTTCATTGCGGCACGCGGGCCTCTCTCTAGTTGTGTCATGCGGGTTTTCTCTTCTCTAGTTGTGGCACGCAGGCTCCAGAGCATGTGGGCTCTGTAGTTGTGGCATGCAGGTTCCAGAGCATGTGGGCTCTGTAATTTGCGGCACGCAGGCTCTCTAGTTGAGGCGCATGAGCTCAGTAGTTGTGGCATGTGGGCTTAGTTGCCCCACGGCATGTGGGATTTTAGTCCCCTGACCAGGGATCGAACCCGCGTCCCCTGCCTTGTAAGGTGGATTCTTAACACTGGACCACGAGGGAAGTCCCTAGAATGGATAATTCTTAATGGCAGAATCAATCCAGCTATCCCCAGGCACTGGAGCAGAAGGCAGTGAGAACTCAGCAGCCCACTAGAAAAGGCCTAGAGGCAATCAGACCTGTTCATCACCGTTTGGACTTAGCAGCCTTTCTGTTTACTTAAATGTTCTTGGTTATCTTTTATTGCAAAACCATAACAAACATGGGGAAATAGTGGCTTAGCTGAGTTTGTCCTATGCTTTGAGAATAGCGCTGGCTCCATCCCTTACTCCCCCAGCGGCAGTTCCTACCTGGCTGAATGGGAAAGCTGGATGGCAGGTAGTGAGCCAGGCAGCTGTAGGCCACGTCGGCAAGGGGGTCACCTGAGGTAGCGAGTTCCCAGTCAAGGACAGCAAGCACCTCGGCCATTTCCGGATGGAATAGCACATTGTCCAGCCTGAAGGAGCTATAGAAGGGATGGAGACAGCGCTAAGAAAAGTGACCGCTAGGGTGTATTCTGTGCTGGGCGTCTTCTGCTGACCCCTTCAGAAGCACTCCCCACCCCTCCCATGTGCCCGGGAGCCTGCATGGGCTGCATCCACTAGCTCCCTTGCCCTCTGGCTCAGTCGGGCTCAGCCAACTGGGACACCAGCAGGTGGTGGGAAGGGGGCCTGCTTATTAGTTCCCCACCTCCCTCTCAGCAGAAGACTGAGGGATATTCCTCTCCCAGGGGCCACAGCTTTGGTCAGGTAGCCCTCTCTACATAGCGGCCATGTCTGGGTTCTGGTAATTACTCCTTCCCTGAGATGGTTTTAAAACAAGTCTGCAGGTTTTTGACACTCCTGCCACAAAAGGAAGAGTCTAATCCTTCACCCCTGGAAACATCTCACTTGTAACAATTACAATGCAGGTGGAAGCAGTGCTGAGTGACTCCCGAGACGAGCACAGAAAAGGTGATCAGCTCCCGCCTGGCCCTCTCCCCTCAGAACACACAGCTTTGCAGCCCTGAGCCACCAGGTAAGAAGTCCAGCTACCCGGAAGCTGCCATACTGGAGAGACCAGGTGGGAAAACACAGAGACACAGAGAGAGGCTCAGGGAGCTCAGCTCCCTTCTGCCCCCGTGCAGGTGTGAGCAAGCCTTCGGGTGATTCCAGTCGCCTGCCTGAGACCCACCTCAGTGGCACAAACAAGCCATCCTGTCCCCATACTGCAGATTCATGAGTAAGATCATTGCTGTCGCTGTTGACAGGCACGCAGTTTTGGAGTTGTGTGTTGTGCTGTAGTTATAACTGGAGCCCGGGCTTGCACCTTTGGACATGAGGGTGGTACTAACTCCGGCTGTTGCACAGGCCAGCACCCCCATCATAGAGAATTAACTGGCCCAAATGTCAGTAGTGCCAAAGCTGAGAAACCCTGCCTTAAAGGCCACGCACAGGGAGAGCCCATGCAGTGGATAATTCTCAACTGTAAACTGGGCCAAGACCAGATGCTTAATTTCCCCTTCAAACGCCCTTCCCATTACTTTCCATATCTAGAGCCACACAATTGAATACTATGCATCCACTTTTAAAAATTAACTCTATGCACACAGAGAAAAATGTCCAAGATACCTTGTTAGATTAAAAAAAAAAGTAAGACAGCAACAGGAAGTAGAGCATAATCCCATACAAATTACAAGAGTATTGTGGATGCTTGGGAAAAAAATGAGGGAAGTATATACAGAACTTAACAGTGGTTATCTGGGGAGAATGCATGCTGTGAGAGGGGAAAGCAATGGCAGTTAAACTTTCTATATTGTTGAAAAACTAAAATTCAACCTAGTAAATTTGAAGATCTAATTGGCTGGTTTCAGCAATTCAGGAATCAGGCAGCGTTTTATTTAGCAACTAGAAGGGCACTCCTAGGGGTTGTACAAAATGTAACGTTTTTATAGGAAGAAGGGTGGGGCAAGGGAGCTCTTAGCAGAAGAAAATAAGGGTTATTTTCAGGCCAGGATATCTTTTTGGAGGGAGGTAACAGGCAGGGATATTATCATGCAGATCTCCTCCCCATCCACTGGTGCAGGAGTGAGGGTGGGGGGAATGGAGAGGACCCACATGACAGATTACCACATTGGTGCTGACCAGAAAATTCCAAGCTGGTTAATTAAGATTGCATTTCTGGTGAAGGTCAAAACTGCAATTAGATTAGGTATGAAATCTAGGTTTGGTACCATGGGCACTAGCACAAGTGATGCCATTTGGGGCCAGTGGTTTTCCTCTTTAACAATATATATTATACATGTCACTATATGGAGAAATCTTTTATTTTCTTGACGTCAAAAATTATCTCCCACCCTAACCCCACCTCCTGGCACTGCCTTCCACAGAACAAGACCTAATTTTGTTTGGTAAAAACTTTTAGATATATCTTGTAGAGTGGGTCCAGCTGTATGCTGGTAAATGCTTAAGAACTAGCTTCTGGGGCGGGGGGGAGGTGGTGCTTTACAGTGTTCGCCAATTTCTGTGCTGTAAATGCTACAACCACAGCCCGTTTCAAGCTGCCACCGTGATTTCATTGAATGTGCAACTGAGAAGAAAAACACGCAGTTAGGTCTCTCAAGCCTGAGAAAGCTAGCTCCAGTGCCCATTCCCAGCCATTCTTGACAAATAATTGGATATTGAGCTGCTTTCTTTTTCAAAAGGGTCAGAGTACAATCAGCCATCTACTGAGCTTTTTCTCTTTTTGAGTGGGATAGGCAAGTTGAGAGCCAGAACTGAGTTCTTCCAGACCATTGAGGGGAATTTATGTTTTGATGGGGAACAAAGACAGAGACAGGGAAGGAGAAGGGGATGGGGGACAGGAGCCTGATTTTTTTTTTTTTTTTTTTTTGGCTGCACCAGATCTTAGTTGCGGCACATGGCATCTTCAGTTGCGGCATGTGGGCTTCTTAGTTGTGGCATGTGGACTTAGTTGCGTCACATGTGCAGGATCTAGTTCCCTGACCAGGGATCGAACCCGGGCCCCCTGCATTGGGAGCGCGTGTCGTGGTCCAAATGCGGGTTGGAAAAGAATTTCCAGACACAAGGCAGAATGTAAAGAAGATAGAATTTATTAGAGGGAAGGGCTGCTCCCAGAACAGTGGGCTGACTTCCTATTCCAAACATGTGCTATTAGTCAGTTTTTATAGCCAGAGAACAAAAGAATGGTCCGAGGTGAAAATTTCATTTACTGATTGGTCGAGGCACATATACCTTCCTTCTATAGAGTGGGATTGGGACAGGGCAGATGCCTTTCCTTATTTGGGACAGGTCCCATTGCCCAGGTGGGCTCAGGAATTTCGTAACCATGGAAACATGGTAGGGAGGGTGATTAAGAGTCCAGTAGGGGGTGTGACGCTGAAACCTTTTCAGGCAGGGTCGTCCTTTGTCCTTGAAGCACCACAGCTCGGAGTCTTGCTCACTGGAACACCAGGGAAGTCCCAGGAGGCTGATATTTAGAGAGGAAATTCCAGTGGAACATAGATGTTTAAAGGGAATTGCTGTGATGTTTGCCACGTGGTATGCAATGTCACTCTTCTTCCACACCTTCTCCAAAAAATCTTCAGTAAAACTTTATCGCTCCATCATGTATAGCAGACTGGAACTGGTCTCCTAGCATTGCATTTAAACACTGAATGCAGCCTCAGAGTGGACCAAGGGTGAGAGCTCTGGTTACCGTTGGGGGCCTTGCCCCACCTGGCCACATCCGATTATTTTTAATAATGAGCATGCATTATTCGAGTTGTCAGCCAAAAAAAATCTAAGTTACCTGCACCTAAGAATGTGGAGTTGACAGTTATCTTCTTACCTGACTCAGTAGAACATGGCATAGAGACCTTTGCACTTGCAAGAGGGAATCGAGTCCTGGAATGGAATATAAACCAGTGGGGTCTGTTTAGAAGAGTGTTTTGTTATAGAAAATAATCTCCCTAAAACTTCTTGTGTCCTTCCATTGTGTTTTTATTACAAACCTTTGGCAGAACCTCAAACATGCTAATAAGCCTCCCAAACAGCTTTATAAAGAGTAGACCCCTGTTCAAACTTGCCCTGTGGTGCAAGTTCCTGAGATCGTGCTGATCCTGTGGACTAGTAACCTGGATGGAAGGCATTCAAGTCTCTGGCATGTTCCTCCAATGAGGTGCAAATATGGATTCCTATTATTGCCAAGGTTCAGGGCCTGGACTAAGAAACTGACAGAGAGACAGAGACAGAGAGACAGAGAAAGAGAGGAGGGTGGGGGGGAAACACATCTTCATACCTAGCTATAAGTATACATTTCCTGGCTTTGGGTACTTGCTTTCTTTATGTCAGTGGTACCTCTCAAGTTCACCCTCTTTGTTGCTCCCGATGATGGATACTCCTGGGACTGGCACCCACCAAACCAGTCTGGGAGAGAAAGTGCCCGAGTTTGCAGCAAAGGCACAGGGACTTTTGCTGTCTGCCTCTATCAGTGTATTTTCTAGCTTCTAACCAGCCACCCAGTCTTGACCACTTCCCTTCTTTTTGCCTTCTAAAGTTTCTGCCTTTCTAGTCTCTGCATACCAGCCTAGATTGACACATAGTCTTACCTGGGTCCCCAGCTGCAGCTTCAGGGTTCCATCTAATGCTTGCCAACTGGTTCCCACCCCCTTGCTAAGTTCCCTGGCTGTGGATGACTTCCAAGACTCCAGATCCCCAGCACGGCACTGATGGCTAATGTCACGCTATTTTGTATCCTTCGTCTCTCAAAGGTTCTGTTGGCCTAATTTGTGCATCCAGAACGGGCAGTTGGAGTCAGTACAGTACAGAATAATGAGTAAAAAAGCACAAGGTTGGACAGCATATACACATAGAATGCAATGTGAATTGTGCCCCCGAAGGAAAATTCCAGCGCTGCAGTCCACGTGAATGATTTCCCTTCCATTTCCCCAGGGTTGTGCAACGGGGGCTCTTACAAGCTGTATGACTCTGAACAAGTCAGTTCATCTCTCAGCGCCTCAGTTTCATCATCTATAAAAAGGAGCTAATATACAGTACCTATGTCACAGGACTGTTGTAGGGAGAAATGCTATGTAAAGGTAGCATAGTGCCTGGTACATTAAAAATGTTCTATATGAGTTAGTAGTTGTTATTTTCCAAGTATAAATACAATGGCCAACCTTCTTTAATCTAAGTTTAAGTTGCATCAGAGATGCTGTCTTTCTACATATTGGTGGGACCAGCAAGCGATACTCCTGGGTTGCTAGAAGTTTAGCTGGGCTGGGCTACAAGATCAAGATGGTCTCACTCAATATTTGGTAGTGGGGACTGACTGTCATCTGAGGAGCCTCAGTTCTCCTCCACATGACCTCTCATCCTCCAGTTGGCTAGCCCTACACCAGGACTCATGTAAGAGATACCAGAAAAAAAGAAAAAAAAAAAAAAGAGAGAGATACCAGAAGATCTATTTTTTCCTCCCCTAAATGGTGTGGCATGAAGATATGAGATGTACTAAAAGTAGCAGAATCCAGAGCAGCCATAGGACCACTGGGTAGACTCTGGAGATGATGCCAATACTATAGGAGTTAGAACGGAGAGGCAGAACGAAAGACATGCTTGGTGACATTCTGTAAGCCACTGGATCAAGCCTTACCTGAAGGGAGCCCTATGTATAGACGTTGAGTTATGTGAGCAAATAGATAATAAATTGCCTGTAATTTTAAGCCATCTGGAGTTAGGCTGCAGCCAAAGCACCCTCACTGACAACTATCTCTTAATAAGAATAACCTGCTACTTCTTTAGGGGGTAAGAGACGGAGGAACATCAGGCCATGTGTCATTGAAGAGGACCCAACTCCCAAAGCAAGCTCTGTAGGCTCTCTTGGCACCTTAAGGGGTATTCACAGATCCTCCTTGAGCCCCTTCAGTTATAGAAACCCTATGTCTGCATCCTCCAATGGAATCTTTTAGAGTGTCCTACCTAAGCAAGAAAATCAATTTATGATTGACCGGAAATTTTCACTGCGATTTTAGTTAGTCT